TCTTTCCATGTTGGATTCTTCCCTACCCTCCCCACCACCCTTCCTCAATTCACAAAATGGTATAGTCCTGATATTCACCTGGTTATTTTTTTGCTCTCTAACTTCAGAATGAGTGAAGAGTAGTAACCTTGCTCTTCCATCAGACAGATGAAACTTAGAGGTGCTGGGGGTGGTGGTGGTGTGTGGTGTTAAAAGGTAGATATTGGATGGTTTGTCTTTGGCATGTTTGCCACTGTGGCTGTAAAATGCATTCTACTGGTGATAAATATGCCAAACTTACCCATACCTATTAATTCAACAATGGAGCCTGCTAACAGTATTCTTCAAGTATATGAACACAGATTAAATCCTTCGTTCTTCTTTACTGTAATTTGGTATTGATAGTTTCTTGCAAAATGTTTATAAAGCCTTTCTGATCGTTACTAACCATGACTACCTCGAATACCAAGTTCTGATCTTGTTATTAGGCAAGCTTTTTAGACGAACTTGCTTGTAATCGGGGTATCTGATATAGGGTATTGCCTCTGCTTCTTTGGTTAGGGGCCTAAAACTGTAGGTAGACTAAAAAATAGTACAAATTCATCAAGTTTTAATACAGAGACAAGTACAATAGCCCAGTCCTAAATACCCTTCCCACAATCTCCTGTCCGGAGCAGCCGGGCCGGGGCCGGGGGGGTGCTGGGGGTGTCAGCTGCTCTTCTCCCCTTCCTTGCGCACCCCCTCGGAGCGCTGGCCGGTGCCAGCCCTGTCCTGCGTCGCCTTGTGGTGCTTGCCGGCCTGCCCCTTCCGCCGTGGTGGTGGGGCGTGTTGCTCCGCAAGCCCGCACTAGGGTTTTAGTCCTCGTCTCGTGTACAGCTTAACGGTGGCCGGAGTCGCCATTGCCGCTCTTTAAATGGTGGGTGTTCTCTGCCGAGTTTGCTGCAAGCTATTTTTCGGGTTCTTTCTACGCTTTGGGCTTGGGCTTTCAGTTTCTGAGGCCTTGTTTCTATTCTGAATACTAGCTGCTTGTTTTTTCCAGTTATGTATACCAACGTCTTAATTTGAACTTTGGGAAGTACAGTTTGAAGATAATGCTGTTATTGTAATCATTGGTAGTGGACTGATGACTAATTGTTTCATATGTGCGGCATTTTTGTTACAGTCTTCCTCACGTTCTGAAATCTAACACTTGAACTACCTGAATACTGTGGTTTAAAGAGAACAAAGTGGTTTATGAGATTAAGGTTTATGATTTAATAACAGAAAAGATTCTTGAGGCCTACTTGCTTGTGACATTGTCTCCCTGAATTTTGGCCTGATTCTCAGTAGTGTCTTCTGTGAGTTTATGAAGAACTAAACAGTGATGTTCCACTTAAGAAATGTGACAGGGTGTCTGCTTAAAAGTAATGGGGTCTTATTATCTGTTAGTGTTGAATAGTATGTATGCCACGGGACAAAATAAAATGCTTATATTGTACATGGTCTCAGAAAATAGGTTTTAAACTTCATGTTGTGAGTAGTATGTTAAGTTTTCTGGGATGCCTCTGCTTGCTTAACCTATGTATTTGCAGTTACACTAGTTGCACAGCATCTTCCTTAACAGTTGCGAGCATGTATATGAAGTGTGGTTTTAGCGCTGTAATGCATGCTGCTCTTAAGGTTTTTTTAAGAAACAAACCATGCCACCATGTGGGCCGCTAGTGGGTTTTGAACTACTTTTGAAGCTCTGTGAATAAATAGTGTATGAGGTTCTATAGAGTAAATAGTAGGTGGTGCCAAAAAAGAGCCTTAGGATAGCTGTGCACTATTCCTGTGCATTTAGGGTAAATGCTTGTAGGTTGGGTATCTCAGAAGTATTTAATAGTGAGACTTTACCTTAAAACCAAAGAAACATTAGAGATGCACTAGAAATGACACTGTGAATGTTTTATAAACAGATACTGTTGTTTCATTTTTGCTAAGGAGCTAAAAAGACCATGTTTTAAACTTTGTTACCCTACGTTCATACTCTGCTGTTGGATTAATCTATTGCTAGGTTTACTAGGCACGGTGTGGTATTTATGGCAAGCTTATTGTAGCTCTGATTGTCATAGAGGTAACTGGTACCTGCTATGCTACAGAAGTGACTAGGTGTCAGAGCTGCAACTGAAGTGTAATATGGAACAAACAAGCATTTGAAGTGTCTTGAAATGATTGTGTATAGCTGAATTCTGATATCCCATGTAGAAAGAGAAGAGCTGAGTAATTTTTCATGTGATGCAGCTCTGGTTTTGTTTTTTGTTAATCATGTTCTTTAAATTTGTAGTGGGAAGCCTAAAATTAGAAGCAAAAAGTGAGTTGGAATCCGCAGGTCACAAATGTCATAAAATGGACCTTTAAATGGCTCCAAAATGTTGACAAGAAAATGTCTCTAGATATTAATGGCTTGAAAGCTTTAGGCTTTGACTGTCTGGAAGGGCGTGTGTGTGCTTGTAGAACTCTTGGAAGCACATGCTCACCCTTGATCCTGAGATTTTGTTTCTCCACTGTGATTAGGTTTCTAATTGCTACCTGTATCTCTTTAACTGTCTGCACTGTTTCTCATTTGCTTTTCTGCTCTGAGTCTCCCTAGCTGCTTATACATCTTATTGATTGCAAAATACAGTGTCAGTTGTTGAATCTTACTGTACATCATGTGTACTTGTGAAGTATTAATCTTTACTTCTGTTTTCTAAATCTTACACTTCTATAAGAAAGTTTTATTAAGTTCTACTAGCAAATTGAAACATCTGTAAAATAAGGAGAAGCTAGGATATCTGATTAAGCAATGAAGTGACATTTTTGCAAAACTATTTCTTTAAGATTAAAGGCTTAATCTGATGAGGTGGCTTTGTTTCATGGCATCAGTTTAGAGTATTGCACCAAACTACTTTTGTTCCAATAAAGCCAAAAGGGTGGTGAGACTGTGGTCTTCTGGAAACTTCATTTAGTGATGTTGACTGGTGCTGCCTGCAGTGTGAGCCCAGTGATGGCGATGAGCACAGGAAGTCTTTAAATTGGTCACTATGAATCTTTTGGCTGATGTGTATCTATGCTTACCTGTCTGATTTCAAACACATAAGTATTATTGTATTATGAAGTTAACCTGTGTATCCCCAAATAGGCGACTTTTTTTAATGATAGTAACAGAAGGCTTTTAGTGCAAGAGAACGGTTTCTCTTTCCTCCATGCCCCCTTCCCTGAATGCTAGCTAGAGGGAAATGGTGAACTGAAACTTCCTTTGAGGTTAGGAGGCTGTTGGGATGGTTGCTCTACTTACTTTAGCATTAAGTCATGTACTTAAGTTATTGATGAACTGTGAATTGAAATTAAGGTAGCCACCAAGTCACAAAAGAAAACATTTATCTAGAATAATGTGAAAAAGCTGATGCAAAAAAAGTAGGGGGTTTTGCAATTAATGACTACATTCCATAACCTTTTGTCAGACCTGGTGGGACAGTTAGAATTGGTTCCCATTGATTTAAATATTGAGGTCAGTGCTCTTTATCTTGATAAAATCATTCGAAGCTATAAATTGATGTCAAGTGAACTGTGCTAAAAATACTCCAATAATAAACCTACTATCAAAGGTGGGTTTTTTTAAAATCAAGTAGACCCCTTTTGTTAGTTAATTACTCAAGAAAAATACAACTTCTGTGTACTGATCTCAGATGTGTGGAGAACTGCAAAATATCCATCCCAAGAGAACTGTTGATGTGGTGCTAATCATACTATACAGATCTTGGTTGCTTTGCTGAACTTGTAACCTGGAAAAGCTATCTTGACTGTCTAAGAGTTAGGAGCTAGGAGGGGAAGACAATGCAAGAAGGTTCAGTGTTATATGCAGTGTTCATATGCCTGGCTTGCCTTTGCTCAAGATGAAGCTGTCAAGAGGCAGATGACCTACACGGGCTTTTATTCAGTGACATTGAAGAGAATCTTTTCCAGCTGGGTCTTCCTTGTGTTCTACTTGGGTCCTTTTATCAGTTCCTAACAGGGCCTGATGTACATGTGAAACTGAGCCCTTAGAAGAAATAATTAAATGAAAGCAAAGATTTCACACAGGCACATAAAGAGAATGGAATTTAGATCTTATAATTGCCATTATCCTTTTCTAAGTGTGTAAGTATTCTTCAGACCAGTCATAAGACACTAGAGTCAAAATACCAAAATTAGTAGCTTGCTTCAAAGAGTTGTTGACATTACTTATCTTTGAATTAACTGTGGTCCTATATATTTGTGGGTTTTTGAAAGTCCTAGCAAAAGTTGTAATAGTAATGAAAATAACATAGGAGTTACTAAGTGTAAGTTGAGTCACAACTGAGACTTAAAGCTGTAGTACTCAATTTAGTAAATGCTTGGGAGAATTTGTTGAATGTTGAATCCTCTTCTGTGTGTCTAGACTGTACGGATTACAAAGGCTTTGACACTCTTGGCAGCTGACTTGTTCCTAAACTGTGTCAAAACAGTAGTTAAGGGTCTTCTTTCCATGTTGGATTCTTCCCTACCCTCCCCACCACCCTTCCTCAATTCACAAAATGGTATAGTCCTGATATTCACCTGGTTATTTTTTTGCTCTCTAACTTCAGAATGAGTGAAGAGTAGTAACCTTGCTCTTCCATCAGACAGATGAAACTTAGAGGTGCTGGGGGTGGTGGTGGTGTGTGGTGTTAAAAGGTAGATATTGGATGGTTTGTCTTTGGCATGTTTGCCACTGTGGCTGTAAAATGCATTCTACTGGTGATAAATATGCCAAACTTACCCATACCTATTAATTCAACAATGGAGCCTGCTAACAGTATTCTTCAAGTATATGAACACAGATTAAATCCTTTGTTCTTCTTTACTGTAATTTGGTATTGATAGTTTCTTGCAAAATGTTTATAAAGCCTTTCTGATCGTTACTAACCATGACTACCTCGAATACCAAGTTCTGATCTTGTTATTAGGCAAGCTTTTTAGACGAACTTGCTTGTAATCGGGGTATCTGATATAGGGTATTGCCTCTGCTTCTTTGGTTAGGGGCCTAAAACTGTAGGTAGACTAAAAAATAGTACAAATTCATCAAGTTTTAATACAGAGACAAGTACAATAGCCCAGTCCTAAATACCCTTCCCACAATCTCCTGTGATTTTGTTGTTGTTTGTGTTTGGGTTTTTTTTTAGGAGATACTAAAAAGCCTTACTTGAATGTATGGATCTCTTAATACTTGAGTATATAGGAAAGGAAGTACTATACTCTTACTGCTAAAAGGCAGTATTACTCTCAGAAGCTGTAGTGACCTGAAGGACTGGTGATACTTAAGCAAAACTAAGTCTCCTTTAATGTTTTCTCTGTCAGATATCTTTGCTATTAATTGGGCCGATGTGTAAAGCTGTGATGATAAAACTTTATGGATACTGATTTCTGTGGTTTTTAAAATATAACACAAATCCTGTTTCTGTGAAGGGTTTTCTGCCTTTTTGGTTCAGAAATGTGGTTCTCAAAGATTTATGTGAAATACATATCATCTGAGCAGACTTGATTGCCAGTGTTGTGACAAAAGCAAACAGTGCTCAGAAGAGCTTTTCCTTTGAGATTTACAGTAGAGTATCAAGTACAGCAGATCAATAAAATACTATCAGATTGTGCCTGACCATACCGTCTTCTAATATGGCCCAAGTGTCAGTGATTTAAAACTTCTGAAGTCATCTCTAAACTTTTGGCTTTTAAACGCTGGTGTAGTAGAACAAATTATGATGTGAAAACTAGGCACTGATCAGATAATCCTTCAGGACAGCTGGCTGAAAGCCGTAAGCAACTTTACGTAGAGATTTGATTAAAGCAATAAAGTTTTCCTCATGTTTAAGATTTGCTACTCTGCTGTCATGTTACAAGTTGGCTAGAGTGTTAAGCACTTCTAACATGCTGTTTGGAGCTTTTTCTTGAGTTGACTTATGCCACTTCACTGTAGACTGAAGGGGTAGCATTAATGCTTTAGTTATGTTGAATACATTGGTGATAATCATTAGCTCCTTGCCATCTGCTCTTAGAAAGTTTGAGTGTTTTTCTTTCCTCAGGTCTGTCTTTATCGGTTTATCAGATTTTGTGGAAAGCTTTTGGGGGAAGGTACAGTTGACTTAAAATAAGAAGAAAAGTTTCTTGAATCATCTTGCTTTAGGTCATACAGATGCTGGAGTTGATCTTAGTGAAGTAGCTAAGAGCAGGAGCTGCTCTAGCAGTTGAGTGATTTGAACTGTAATACAGGCAGCACGCTAGAGGGGCACTTTCATGGCAGTTTAGGCTGATGTAAATTAAACTACCATGATCATCAACATGGTGCTGGTTGCTTGTGTAGTTAAGCAGCCAGCTGGTTCAAGCAGCTGATCTGGCCTGTGACACTTTCCATATACACATGAATTTTAGTTAGTTCACGGCGTGGTCAGTGCTCATACAGAGAGCTGATGCTAAACTGCTACAGTTCAGCCTGAAATAATCTGGGATGAATGTGTTGTGAAATACCACTGAGTACTTGTTTTTATCCCAATGCAAGTTGAGGTGAAGCTGAAAGGAAAACTGAGTTTAAGGCAAAAGACAGAAGTTAACCCTTGGCAACTGAAGTGCCTGGTGTTAACTGCTAGTTTTCAGAATGGGGGGAGCAGAGTCTTAATGTATCAACTTCTTCAGACCCTGTTCTAGCCTATTAAATTTGTTTTAAATTATACCCCTTTTTAGCCACCAAATTATACACTTGGTAATGGAGGTGGTGTTTGAAAATGTGGATTATGCAGGCTTTTGGAGAACAGACATACTCTTGAATTACTGAAATTAGACTAACCTTACAATATGTTCTGATCCTGGTAAAATGTTTTCAGAATACAATATAATGGACTTCTTAAAGCAGCTCGTATTCCGAGGTTTTTCCTATCCTGCTGCTTGCTTTCCTTTTGTGTGTTAGCTGAGAAGCATATCACTGAGCATTCAGCAACAGTGTCTGGAAAAAAACAAACCAACAAACAACTGAAACGAACCACACCACTACTCCCCAAAACCTCCTCAAAACAGATGGGGAGAATTGTGGGCTTATGTCAGTAAAAAAAGGGAAAAAGATACAGACAAGGAAACTTGCATAATATTAGTATTCTGAGACTTCTAGTGATAAATTCAAACTTTTTTTTTTTCTAGTAGCTCGCTAATAATGAACTATTTTGACTAATTGTTGCAAATCAAAAATCCTGTTAGGCTGGTTCCTACCCAGATTTCATGTACTCTTGTGAAATGTTTGGAGTTCAGTTTAGACTTACTCAGTGTTGTGAATTCAGGCTCTTTCCACACAGCTGTCTTATCCTTCCCAAATCATTCAAAACAACAGCAAAAAATGTAGTAAATGATTGGCTTAAACCAAATTTATTTAGAACAGACTTCTGGCAAACTGTAGTGAAATGGCTAACTGGTTTAGTATTGACTCAGCCTTCTGGCTTAAACACTTAGAGTATTTTGATCCAGAAATCTGTCTTTTATTGATTCAGATGTTTTTATTAGTAAATTAATTTGAAGTCAAATGAGACATTTCTGTGTAAAACTCAAATCTAATTTGTTTTGCTTTCCAGGCATCCTTTCTTACGAAGAAGCTAAATATTGGTGGGAAAAGAGTAAACCTTGCAATATGGGTATGTTTACTTTCCTATCTTCTTTCCCCAAGCTAAATAGAATACTTTCAGAAAAATTACTTTGGTTTGCTAGAACTCAAATGCCTGACACTTCTTAATAAAGTAAAATTTCAAAATGCTTGGAGTTTCTTGAAGTATTGTTTAAGTGCTAACAAGTGTATTTTAAATGCAGGATACAGCTGGTCAAGAAAGATTTCATGCATTGGGGCCGATCTACTACAGGGATTCTAATGGCGCTATTCTAGTATATGATATAACAGATGAAGACTCTTTTCAAAAGGTACTGGACAGATTTTTGCCTCTGAGATGTAAACTGATTGAAAGATAATTTGTAATATTGAGTGTAAATGGGAATCTTCTGGTTTTGGCAATAGCAATACATATTACACCTGCAAATTTAGACCATATAATGGAAGTATATGCCTTATTACTGTTCTTTTGAAGGCTGATTTTCAGTCTGTTGTAGTTCTGACAGGGTTATTCAAAGTACATCTTTTTCTCTGTTGTTCGAGTTACCTGTGACAGGTTATAAACATGAACCAATACTGTTGTACGTGCTGCTGATCTCTACCATATAAACCAAATTACTAAAATATATTGTGACATGACCTTTTACAGATCTGAGAATTCTGAAATTGTAATGTTTCCACTATCATGTATCACTTCTCAGTGATAATAGATATTTGTATTTCAAATGTTCATCACAACCTAAAATTTGATGGCTAATTACTTTATAGCAGTATTAGTTGACCAGTTTGAGCAGGTGAGTTTTTTCCAACCCTGTGTCATATCAGTGCTGTCACTTTGTAGTATGTTCCAGATCAAAACTGTTGGCACTCTTTTTTTTTCCTAAGTGAGTTTGTCTCAGATTAGTTTGTGGCAAACTCTGTAGGATTTCCATGTAGAGGGGTAAGAAACTGGTTGTGTGGACAAGGCTTGTTTTAACAGTGATAGAAGTAGTATGAGGCTGTAGTTCCACAACAGTTTAAGTAATTTAAATAGTCTGGTGTGGCAAGTAAAGCACTTGTGCTAGCAGTTAAACTCTTGCCCACCATCTACAGAATTGTGATGACTTATGAATATATTTCAACTTGTGCTTTTTAATGCTGAGCCCTACTTAATAAAATTCTGTGATATCAAAAACCCCTAAATTCTCAGGAAAAAGAGGGAAGGTTAATTTGCGGAAGTTATTGCATAACTATCTCTATCAAGTATCATAACTATTTTTAGGTTCTTGAAGTGATTGCTTCTCTTCACGACTTAAATTCCATTAGACCTAAATTCCATTAGCAGTGCCCAAATGCAGTGATCATACAATTTAAAAGCATGACAACAGAATTGATAAGATACCTTACCATCAGCTGACTTGACACTCTTGTCCCATCTGTTCTCTCAGGAAACAAACATCTGTTTATAATCTAACCTGAACAAGTCAGTTCAGGTACCTCTACCTTTAAAGTACCATTTGTGATCTGTCAGTAAGTGCCTGTTGATAAAAGATCTCATGCCTGACCTAAAGTGGCCAATGCAGTGAACTTGTTCTTTGGAGTGGGGCTAACACAAGTGTGGTGAGTTATATTTCTGGAGTAATTGAATAATTTTATCTAAGTCACTTGATCTTAATTTCAACTGCGAACTAAAAACTTGTTGAACAGAAGCCATGTGTAGCTGTCTAAAGAATATTTTATCCACTTTTGTTGCTCTAAATGTGTTTGTTTCAAGTTCAGAGTAAACAGTTAATAAAGGAAATGGGTCAGTTCCGCAGTGCCTAAGCTAGTAGTATATCAAGTGAAAATAAACTTACTTCTGTTCTTTTTGCAGGTAAAAAACTGGGTTAAGGAATTAAGAAAAATGTTGGGAAATGAAATCTGTTTATGTATAGTAGGTAAGTCCTCTTCTTAACATGTGGTTCTAATGACTGAATCAGAAATGTTTCTTTTGATTAATAGCATCTTCCAGACACTGCTTTCACAGCTTATATATGTGGAAGGGCATAATTTAATATTTAATACTTAAAATTCAGTTGGAGCTTGAAGTATCAGTAGAGCACATTGAAGAAAATAAAGAGTTAGTTTCCAAATGTTATTTAATGACACACTGTGTCAGAAGCGTGTGGTACAGACACCTGCAGACTGTGGTTTAACAAAGAAACATAAACCTCAAATGTGTATTATCCTGTGCTTTTTACTGTTCTCAGTATCATAGACTGGATGCTTGTCATCTTAAGTGCTTAAAGCTTGAATATTTCAGTGCAAACATAATGCAACAAATACTGCGTTTAGAATTAATATCGGATCTAGTGATTAAAACACTTTCAGGAGGATAGATGTCTGGATATTCTACAAAAAATACCTCTGCAGCACAGATAAGCTGCTAATAAATTACAAAAGAAAAGCAGAAGGCTGAATCGGTGGCTTATATGGAGATATTTAGCTCTCCTGATCTCTCTACAGAAGTAGAACTACTTCTTCATTGCCTGTAAATGCTTGAGTGAAAGGAGATTCTTAAATCATATTGTTCTCCAAATTGAGACATGCGTAAGAGCTGGTCTTTAGTGACAGCTTGTGAGAAAATAATGGGGTACAGTGATTATGTGACTGTTTAGTTTCGGGTAATTTTGGATTACTAAGACTTGAAAGATCAACTTGTTTCCAACAGGTAACAAAATAGACTTGGAAAAAGAGAGACATGTTTCAGTGCAAGAAGCAGAAACGTAAGTCACACCAATTATTAATAGAAACAGTCATTGCTGAATTATGCTTGAGTAATAAACCTGTGATGCTGTAAACAACTGGCAGGCATAAACCAGCAGTGCCTAGCTGGCTGCTGTGTTAAGTGTTCTGTTAGTATCTGAGTCCCGGAATGTCCTTACTGACTAAAGTGTAACATGAGAGTTGTACGTAATTAAAGTCAACATTTGCAGTTTAAATGCATTTCTAGGTATGAGATTTTCTTTATTTCATCTAGTTTTTCATCAGTCATGTTGGTTTTAACCACATCATTCCCCTTTTGCATTAAATCAGCATGTGTAGATTAACTCTTGAATTTGGAATAAAACCTCTTGTGATAATCTTTTTTGTTTCATGTGAAGTGCCTTAGAATGAGTCCTTGAGTATAGTGGAGTTTTGTATCTGCATTCCTACAGGTATGCTGAATCTGTTGGAGCAAAACATTATCATACTTCAGCTAAACAGAACAAAGGAATTGAAGAACTGTTTCTTGACCTTTGTAAAAGTAGGTATTAGTTTGTTGGTAAAGAGCTCAGTAACAAAATGCTCAAGGCTTCAAAATACTTAAAACTGTATAGAAAAGCTTTAATGTAAATTATTACTATGAACTTACTTCATCTGAGTCTACTTCAAGCTACCTGTGTATTGTAACATCTGTAGAAGCTTGATGTATGGATGTTTACAATATTGCAAATTCATGTTTTAGTCCAGAAATGTCTTTGTCATTTGTTGGAGCACTGACTCCTGTTTCATTCAGCATGTGTAAATAGTAACCTCAAATCAAACTTCATGTGACTGGTTTCACTACTGCTGGCTTCAAATGCTCTAAAAAAAAAATCTTTTAAAATGATGTCAGTTACAAATCATAAACTTAAAAGTTGTAGTGTTGCAAACTTTACATAAAGATCACAGAATGTAGGATAAAAACACAGGGAAGTTGTCCTATTCATTGTGTTCTTATGATACAAGAATTTAAGTAAAACTTCACCTGCATGTCTGAAGAGCAGGTTGGAGGATTTTTGGAGGGTGGGGTGATGTGTGGTGTGTGAGGTTTCTTATTTGTTTTCTTTTTTAACAATGTTCTTGATATGGGTGGGTAAATGTAGCTTTTGAAGTACTAACTCCAGAACACCTGAGCATCTAAAGTCTCCCTTAGTCAACAGGAGCTGCTGGATGTTTGGTGCTTTAGGAAGAAGATTTAAGTATGTTCTTGCAGCTATGCTGTGTGATACCTGGGTACTTATTTCTGCATATTAAGTAGGAGAATCAGTCTCACTGAACTTTGTCCATGTAACTCAGATTAAGATCTCAAAGTCCTGTGTAAAAAGGCAGCAGAATGTCATCTAATAAATTTCTTCCTTTACAGGAATGATAGAAACTGCTCAAGTGGATGAAAGAGCAAGAGGCAATGGTTCCAGTCAGTCAGGAATAGCAAGGCGAGGTGTACAGATCATTGACGATGAGCCACAAGTACAGAGCAGTGGAGGGTGCTGTTCTTCTGGATAATTATAAAACTGTGCATCACTGCCCTCTCGATATGAAGACTGCCATATTCCAAGTCACGCATTCTTTACCAATGGAGTAATAGAATTAACAGTATTTAAAAATAATCACATGTAATACTGCAGAGACCTTAAGTGCTAAACTAGTGGCGTCTGTGACCAGAGAATTGGCATTTTCTACAGTGGTTAACAAAGCAATTACCAATGGCCTTTTTACATATTTTTCTTTAATGAGGAATAATATGCATGTAGAAAAGACCTACTTAAAGGCTTCATTTATATTCTTTTAAATCAGATCATTATTTAATAACTTATATACATTGTTGTTGGAATGGTATACATTTTTGCAGCTCTTTGTATTTTGTGGTAGATTGAATTGTATCACTTCTAAAATGCAAATTGATTTTTTTTTTTTTTTAAATCAATTTATGAAGTAATATTTTTGCAGGGCCTCCACAAGCCTATAACTGTCAACTACTTTGATATATTCTGTTCATCCTGTATGCCAAGCTGGTAAAATACATTGTAAATTACATATTAAATATTTTATCTGCTTTTACAATTGCAGGTGCAGAAATATGTACATCAGTCTTGTCAGTGGTTGTGAAGTGAATAAGTCAGTGAAAGATGCAAGCTTTTCATGTGTACTGTTGAATTGCTCATTCTATTCCCCCTACCTGAAAAGAGCTTTTTTTTTTTTGTTTGGTACATTCATAGCTACAGCATTTTTTAAGCATTTTCTGGCAAGCAGCAGTATTTAGAGTACCCCTTCAGTGGGAAGAGAACATTTCCTTAGACTGCTGTTTCACATTGAGGTGTTTGACTCCCAACTAAAACAGTTGGCACATGTGTATGTTTTGCCTCTGTAGTTACTTTGGCCGCTTGGAATATTGCCAGAAAATCAAAGCAACTTTAGTCCTCATATATCTGGTAGCCAGAAGACCAGATGCATGGGAAACTCTTAAGCTGCATTAATATATTTGTGTCCCAAGACAGCATTATAAACTATTAATGAGTATAATTTTTCTCCCCTGTATTGCAGGGCTTGAGTGAACAAATCAATTGGCATTAACTAGAAGTGCTTCTGGTTTGGAGTGATTAAATGGAAGCTATGAAACTTGCCAGATGTAATTTTGGGGATACTAGACAGAACTGAACTTACTCCTGACTTTCTCTTGTAAAGTGTTTTGAAGCCCACATAAGGTTTGGAAGGAGGGTTTTCAGAAAAAGTGTATAAACTACTATCACAAAGGAACGGAAATGGTGGTAGCTGAAACTTCAACATGTTCTGTGCTCTGATTTTTTATTTTTTTTTTTTTACTTAAGTTGTCATGCTTGGAAAAACAGTAAAGGTGATGTCTATGACAGAATATTCCTTGGCCTTCCTTTTTCTGAAGGGTAGTATTAGTATTGCATATGAATGCATTGAATGGTGTGGTATGCCCAAAAGGAGTAGTAGTGACTAAGCAGTCGAAGAGAAGTTTGCAGTCTTCAATCTGATTTTTATTTTCTCTGAAATAGATGGCTTTGAGGCAGACTGGCCCTGGTGCATTTTTTCCCTTTCTGTGTAAACTGTGGTATAGATACTTTCTCTTAAGCTATCATTGCTCTGCTTTTCTGACACGATTGTATGCATGATGGACAAAGGTCATCTGTTCGTACTGATGCAGATAAAGTTTATTGACTGCACAGAGTTATGATGTGAATCTAAAATCCATGATTATATATTTGTGTGTATATATAGCAACACCATTAAGTTAACATTATGATATTTAACTTAACGGTGAGCTTTGACAGATCAGGTCAGTTTGATCTTAACCCAGTACCTTCAAATGCATATAGTTAGATGAAAATCAGTCTTGTAAGTGATACAATATTGATATGAGGAGTAAAATTGGCAAGACCCTGTTTAAGACGGGAATCCCCTCATAATAGGAGTTCCAGATTCTTTGATTCAAATTCATTTTTTGTGGAGATGGGAAAAAAACCAACCAAACAATCCAACCTCAAATAGACTTGAGAAGCAGATGAGTCATGAGTGTTTACCTACACCAGAGCATAAGCGTTCTCTCAAGCAGAGCTTTCTGTATTCTGTTGAAGTGGACAGATGCAATTCTCTCTGAAAATACTAGGTGTTCACCCAAGAGAATGTTATGTTTGACTACTTTGAAGTAGAAGCAGTGTGTAGAATGTATCTTTCTGCCTGCACCTAAAGAGTTTTTCTTTGTTTAGTCTATGGTAGGGGCATTATGTGTGGCTTCCGTCTATTACAAAACTTACAAAGCCATGTTGATACTAACTGTTAAGTCTCTTCCAAAACTAAAACTATTACAATTGAAAACTTTGGTGTTAAGGAAGCCTGCAGTTTTGTATGATTACAAAGGTTCTGGTTGCTATTAACAAAATACTTTCTAAAATAAATCCAGAAATTACTTTTCTTGCTTAAGCTACAGCATGAAAACTACTCTCTGGAAACCTTCCTGTCTAAGATGCAATTTGGTTGGACTTTATGGAATTTAAAGCCTTAAAACCTTTAAATAAATACTCCTTAGCAGGGTATCATTATATTACCTTACAAAAGTATAGCTTCATGAAGTCAGTGAAGTTGGTTTCCAAGACAGAAGCAAAAGTATGGGTTGTTTAGACTGATTAAGATTTCAACTGTTCATTGTTAAACAAAATACACCAGTTCCAGGAAAAAGCATCTTTACTGAAGATAGCTAGTGTTCTTTGCATTAAATATATAGGAAAGCACAGGTTTACTATATTTGAGCAGAATCTTACTCAAGTAACCTCGTATTACTACTGTGTGGCTTGGTTTTCAAGAGTCTTGCATTTGCTGGAATCTAGCTGGATTGCCTGGCTTGTATGTCTTAATGAAAACTTTTCTTGTTGTTAACTTCTGTTGCTGAAAACAAGTAAGTTATTTTTCTTTCTTCTGAGAAGAGTTCAAGAGAACAACTTTGTCTGTCTTTAGAAAGTACTTGTATTGTGGGATAGGTAGAACCAAGAATACACCTGCTACAGCACGTAAGTCATTGAGCATACTTCCTTGGAGTAAATCTTGACAAAGATTACACGTATACTATAATAATAAAGGTCTAACTTACTACAAATACCTTTCTAAATCAACTTTACTTGCTCACAGTCTTGCTGCTGCTATGATTACTTGAGCTACCTATGAAACTTGATCACTTACTGAAATAAAATCTAACAAACCAAAGTCCAAATGCTTTAATGCAGCAGTATATATCTCTGTTAAGAGTTATTTTTGGACACTGTCTTATTGCATTTAGACTATAGTTCAGAAGTTATGAAAAAGCAAATGGACTGATTCAGACAGGAGCACATTAATACATTCAAATGTGTAGTACTTGGAGATGAGTGTACCTAGCTGTAAATATTGGGGGTAATGACTTCATCTGGTTTGCAGTGAACTTGCATAAGGTTCCAAGATGGGGTCATCCAATGTTTGTATGAACTGTATTGGCTGGTCTCTTGAAGCAGTCAAGTAATTAACTGTTGCCTTGATTACATGCTTTTTTTAGTGTTCACATGTTGTCAACAGGCATTCTTACTACCACATTAAAAAGTACACCTTAGCCCTTTTTATCCTGCCACTTTTATTCTAGGTGTTTAACTTGTATCTCTGCCTACAGCGAACCTAGTAATTCAATTTCTACTTCAGATTCCAAGCCAGATGAAAGAAGTTATGAGGTCATGGAAGGTGTTTGGAGCTCAAATGGAGTTCTCTAAAATGTTGAATGCTGTCAGAAAAAGCAGTTTAAAGAAGGTGAGAGAAATGGGAGTTCTGCTTCAGGACAAATAAGGTCAGGGATCTCCACTAACTGAAAGCAGTTAAGTGTTATGAAAAGTAGAGTATGGGAATAAGAGTTGGAGCCAGCCACCTCTTATTTTTGATGCTTTTTGTGAAAGGAGAAGTAGTAGAAAAATGCAAGTGGGAAGAACTGAAGGTGCTGCTAGTGGGCTGCTGAGTGAGGTGTTGAGTTAACCATTTCTTGGTGGAGTTGCTAACATGTCCTTTTGGCAGTGGTAGTTGCCTAATTCAGGACTTTCCTAAGGTTACTTCCTAGGTTGTTTTTACTTACATGAAGTACCACTTTTGCTTCACTAAAGATAATAGAACTAACTGAACAGGCTGTCAGACACAATATTAACATACTTAAAACTTGATTAGAAGATGCTAACTGGTGAGCTATTTACAGTTAACTGACTTAATTTGCATCAAATGTTAGGAATTTTTTTCCTGACAAGTCAGGAAAACGTATCTTGCAGTGAGAATAACTTTTTTTACAGTTGTATCAAGAAGCTGCAGATGAAGACTGAGGTCCTTGGCTCTAGCTGCTGCATAAGCTCAACAAAGACAACCCTAAAACTAACTTTCTTTTAATGGTGCTGAGCACTTGCTCATGCTACTCTTAGGGGAATTCTGCTCAACACCAGCATTTTTCCTTTATTTACAACAAAGTTGTGCATCTTGGTGATGTAGCCCTTTGAGTTTAGGCTTTTTCTACCAGATAACCATGTATACTCATTCCTCTTGCATTTGTGGAGCTGTCATTGCCCACTCTGTTGAGCAGAATGAGATGGAGAAACTGTTTTGAGAGTTGTGGAGAATCTGGAGTGTTTCTTGTCTTGAAATGGCTTGAAAAGTGAGACTCTATCAAACTGTCACCATTATGACAAAGGTATTAGTCTATCCAAGATAACTGAAAATATTTTGGCTTGGAGAAAGTTTTATTACAAAAATGATAAATTGCTTTATTTCCAAAATCAAAATTTGTTTCAAGCTGTTCTCTTTCAATTCTTAATTTTTTTCCAAGACATAAGTTTACCAAACTTGGCCAAAACCTTCAATTGACTGCTGTGTTTTACAGCCCTAAAATAATGTCTATGACTGTATTGAGGAGTTGTGTACTCATTCACATTCCACTGGACAGTTTGGAGCTTTGATTGTATTTATTCAATACCAGGATGTTGAAAGATAGACTGTAAAAATAATTGTTTCCATCTATTTCCACTCCTTTGTGTACTTGGGCAAGCAGCATGACCTGATGCAGCTGCAGAGTGAATGTGAAAAGAGGGCTTCTGTCCCTCTCTTCCTGTTTATTGGCTGCACTCGTCATTTTAATGAATTACTATTACAGGAAACATACGTGTTCTCTTCTTGCTTCTCTAGCTTTTCTAGACAGTGACAGGTACTATAGCAGTAATACCCAGTTCTCCTCAGTTTGAGAACGTTGTTTGTTTTTTTTTTTCAAGAGGAGCTAATTTCTCAGCAAATCTTTCTTTTTTCAGTGTATCTAGTCTCACTGATATCTTGCAAGGGGTATTAATACTTCATGGTAGGTCACCCAGAAGCAATGCAATTTGAAAATACGACAACAAAGAATAGTGAGTAGCAGTATTGCAGCAGTCTCCCTAGCAATTGTGTTATCCTGCCTCTAGACCAGTGAACACAGAATACTGGAAGTTTAATGGTGAGTCCTTGTTATCTGACTCCTGACTCTTGAATATTGGGTTTAGAAGAAATCCAGGTTGAGATGATTGGAGAGAGCAAGAACTACTTTCTCATCTGTTGCCAAGTAGTTGAAATTTTGTGACGCATCCAAACTCACGTAACAGATATCTTTTGAGCTGCTGAAACTGTTTTATTGCAGACTCCTTCAAGCTATCACTCCATTCTGGAAAGGTCAGCAAATTTGGGATTCACATTGGAAGAGAACAAGTAGTTTCTCTTTTTCAAAACAGGAAACTTAAACTGCCTTATCAGGCTTTTCTTAATGGAAAGAGAATAGGAAAGCACTTGTATACATAAAGATTTAAGTGTTGTCAGTGCTATTTGATCATTGTAGTGATTGTTTTACTGGATTTTTCTCATCAGATAAGATCACTGAGCTTATCGGGCTCAGTAAAATAGAATACTTTTCTTTGAACCAAGAGAATATGTTAGCAGGGCAAAAGTCAACACTGAAAAGGACACAGCATTTTTAATTTCTGTTAACTTGGTGTTGTCAAATTTTGTAGGAATATGCTACTTGGCATTTATGGATAAATTTTTGAAAAAAAAATAAATTTAAAAGAGTATTTAGCAGAGGCTTCACAAACCTTAAATTTCCCAGTGCATTGCTGCAGCTGGAGTTCTTAAATATGTCTTAAAACTATTGTATATACCAGTGCTTTTACACGAAGATAGTTCTGGGATAAATTAATTCCAAATGATCAATCAGCTAGGGAAACAGAGCTTTAGTATAACTGTTATTCTACCAGTGCCAAATATTAGAAGTGAAAATGCATGTAAGTGGGAATGGATCAATAGAAAGGGGAAAAAATGTGTGCTGAAAATCAATACAAGAAAACAGCTGGAAGTTCTTGTTATTGTCATATCTGAAGATTGTTGTCTTATAGTTTAGTAAGTCATAGAATTTGTAACCTGATGAATAGTCTGTAATAAAGTGACCCTGAAAATTACTGGAGGTTGGGGGCAGTGGCCTGGCTTACAAAGAGATTTGGTAAAAACTGAGACTGCAGTATGTTACAAATACAGTAACAAATTTCTGAACCCATCTGAGTATGTGATGAAAGATGGCTTTAAGATTTCAAACCAGGCTGAGTGAGCTTGCTCTACATTATGCTAGCATATACCCTGGAGACAGTAGTATGAGCAGGAACCCATCAAAATGCAGCTTTGATTCTTAAAACTGTCCAGAACAGTTCATGAGGAAGGAGCAATTGCTGTTGAACCACATTTGCCAGTGTAATGGTAGCCCCAGGCACGCTGCCTGTATGCTAAGGGAGCAGCAAAATGGAAGTCAAACATGGAACCAAAGCTCAAGGCTGGGAATTTTCCAGCAATTATGTGTTTGTATCCTACTGATGTCCTACTTCCACAGTGCATGTTTGTGTATACTACTTTAGTGAAAAATTCTGTTCAGCTGATGCTGTGGATTTGAACTGAATGGACATTGAATGAAAACAGCAAGCAACAGAAAAAGCAGGGCAAGATCAGAGGAGTTTGCATGGTTCCTGCTTTTGGCTGTTGTTAGCCCTTGCACCTGCCTTTTTAAAAACTCTACCTATATCCTACTATCTTTGTCAGAAAGTATATTTTCTATTTGGCCAAGAAACTAAAATCTTACAAGCTGTTTAGAGTAAATATAGTTCCTTCAAAGATTTAGTCTTTCCAAAGTTGGTCAGCATCTCATTAAAGGGACAACATTAAATGGTGAAGAGCAAGTGTGCTGCTTGCAGTTCCACCCTGCAATCAGAGTCCGATGGTGAATTTTCTAAATAGCAAGAGGCAGCAGAGTATCCTATACACCTCTGATTGCCAGTCTACTCTCACGTTTTGTGATGTGGAGTAATTGCAAAACAATCTTCAACTGTAAGATGTGCTCATACTGGTTATAGAAGTTGGTTTGAGGCTTAAAATGATGCTAAATTGTACTTTGAAGCCTTCAGGGATGGTCAAGATTCCTTTCATTATGTGAACACCGTTTCTTTTCCAGGGACTTGGGGATTTTGCCTTGTACAGGAAATGAAGCGATCTCTGAAGTGGATTGTCATGGTATGTTAAGAAAAGGAAGGAGGTATTGTGTTAGTAACCCTGACCCATCCTTAGCATTGCTTTTTGCGTGGCTGGAATGAAATACAACATTGACTACCCCCACCATAAAACATTTGCTTCAATAGTTTTCTGCTCTTTCCAGGAAATGTTCCTGGTGGTGGTGGTGTAATGCATATGTAGAAGTGATGGGGTTACTACTATTAGTCTTTGCTTTCTGTGTTCCTAGCTCTGGAAGTACTAGTCTGTGGCAATCGGCAAACAACAGATCAGTTTCTGTTTAGTCATCACTCTCGGATAGCTTCCAGCTAGTCTCTGTGGAGGCTGATGCAATCATGAAGCTCTTGTTGCCCGAAAATGTGGAGCACTTCATGTTGCTCTGCTGCTTTTATATTTGAAAAAATTCCTTGTCCCACTGAAACAAAGCTATTGTAAACTTGTGATCAGTTGTACCAACTGTAATGTTTTCTTATGACAAATCTTGTATGTTTTGGGCTGTTTCATATTCTGGGATTCCATTAATACCTAATATGCATAGCTAAAAGAATACCAGGTTCACAAACAGGAACTCAGAGCTGTGGTCATGGATATACAAAATGTGACATAGTGCAAATACTTGAAGAAAGCTCCTCATCCAGTGTACTACCTTGATGTCTTGTTACATCTCCATGCCTTCACACTCTAAATACAAATAAATGCTGCTGGGGAATGGGATTTCCTTCCTTCTAATTTCAGTCTGTGTGTACTTAATTTCTTTGTCTCTATCCTTGCCTAACCTTGTGGCAGAAGGCAGCCAAGCGTGGAATATTACTATACCTGCATGCTCTGCTTGTGCAGGTTAGATTTTTTTTTTTAATGTTTTCTTAGAGAAACAGGTTAGTCTATCATATCTTCATTTCTTAGTTTCTGCATTGAGGTAGAGATAACTAGTGAGTAGAGAAAATCCAAACTGGTCCCAGAGGCTACTCTTACTGGCAAATAAATTAGGCCAGGCTGCATAAGGAGCTCTGGCCTCGAGAACAACTGGCACAGTACAGCTTTCATCTAGGTAAAGTCCTCTTCCACCCATTAAATCATATTTACATGCTGCCTGCTTGGAGTGGCTGTGCTGTGTCCCATGCTGTATCTAGGTATTAATCTGAAACTTTAAATGGTATGGGCCATATATAAAAGCGCATGCTAATGATTACACAGCAAGCTGGCTGTAGGTAAGTACCCCAGGCTTACTTAATTGACTTGAATATAGCCAGAGTATGATTTCCACCCCATGCTCCCCTAATTGTGGAGTGGGATAGAAGGATTTTTCTTTTACCTTTTTCTCTTGTATGTGGAAAACAAGAGCATGTGATAGCTAAATCCCGGGATACCTCCTTTACTGTCTATAATATAATTCACGCTGAGGCCTGGTATCTCTTAGAATACAAGGAACTCAAGAGAAGCCTGATCTGCAGCTTTTTTTCTGGTGTGCTGCTGCACCCAGAGTCTAGGACAACACCACACTTATGGAGTAGCCTGGAAAAACTGAGTTGCATCTGTCCAAGCAAGGCTTGGAATATATTGATTTCTTGTGAGCAGAAAAAAAGTCAAAGGGGAAGATATTTTGGAACTGTAACATTGTTTCTCTGCTGTAGGGTTTTTGCTTGTACAAATTAAGCCTATGATGGAAGGACTTGACAGAATCTGCAGTTGTCATGTGCAGTCCAGGTTTTCATATGGCTGAGCATGTGGGCAGCTGATACTTGAATACAGGGATGGATCTTGGAACTCTGCTGAAATAGCTATGTGAACAATAGCAGCTGCTGCTGCTCTTGGCATAGCAATAATAGCTATGCTTGCAGCTGTGACAGCAACAGAAACTGCAGGAAAGCCAGGAACTCTTTCTGGCTGCGCACTTGATGTGGGCTGGGGTGCTGTGACTACCATTATGTGGCAGAAGATGCCTTATTAGAGCAGTTGGCTGCTTAAAATCCAATGAAGAGCGAGTGACCAAGCTGAAGACACCCTCCTCCATAGATTCCCATCTGTATAGTGTGCAAAGGGTTGAACTTGAGCATATTGCTGCAGCCTGCCCCATTGTTTTCTTAATGGGTTTATGGGGAAGGAAGAGGAACCTGTTAGCAGTATGTCAGCCTATGGAACTTGATGTTGTGCACAGAAATAATGTAATGAACTGTTGGTATGACCTGGACTGGGAGTCCAGAGAGTCATAAAGGTCTCATGATCCCCTCAGGTTAAATTAAGTTGAAATGACACCAAATGACCCATTAAAATGTTTTATTTGCAGTAGAAACAAACTAGGCAAAGGATAGTAAGTGATGTGGCCTCTTATTAATAAATCTATAAGAAAAAAAAGAGGGAGAGAGAGTCAATCTAGATCACCAGCCCAGGTTCTAGCACTGTCTCAGGTCTGGTAATCTTGGGTGGGTACACACCCAGCAAAGTGTTCTGTTGTTTGAGTTCATCTTATTGGCTGTTTTGCACACTGGCCAGAGGCAGGTATTCCATGAACTCATTAGCATGAGAGGTGAGGAAAAGGTGGAGCATGGGTTCTGTGCATGTGTTGAGTGGGAATGGGGTGCATTAACCCTTTTGTCCAATTGAGCTGGTAGCTGTGATCTCCCCCTGTCACCTTTATCTTTCCCCCAGTTTTTTTTCTTATTGGGCAATTATCCAGCCTTTGACTCCCTGGTGCTGGGTTTTTCTTTCTTATGAGTCTTTTAGCTCTTCTGCAAGGGTAAAGTTAGCAAGGCCTACATAATTTATCAAGCTCCTAAACTAAAGTGCAGGCATTAACCTGAGCATATAGTTTTACTCGGTCTGTGTCCCCACTTTGAGGCTTATCTAGGCAACGTGGCAATATAACCACAAGGGAGTGGAGCTGTGCACCCTTTGATGCACTCTGCGCTCCCTAGGCTGGTAGTTTGTTCCTTAGACTAACCACAACAGTCACAGCTTGTCCTTGAGACTTTCTGTGTTAATGAATGTTTGATGCATTAACTTGCTTCAGATCCTCACAATCATTACAGGCTAGGGACTGACTGGCTGGAGAGCAGCTTTGCACAGAAGGATCCAAGTCTCCTGGTGTACAAGCTGGTGATGAGCCAGCAAAGGCGGCCAGTGGCACCCTGGGCTGCATCAGGAAGAGCACTGCCAGCAGGCTGGGGGAGGTGATCCTTCCCCTCGGCCCTGGTGAGAGACTTCTGGAGTGCTGGGTGTAGTGCTGGGCTTCCCAGTACAACAGAGACATGGGCATCCTGGAGCGAGGCTGGTGAAGGGCTATCAAAGATGACTAGGAGACTGGACCATCTGTCGTATGAAGAGAGGCTGACAGAGCTGGGTCTGTTCAGTCTTGAGAAGGCTCAGAGGATTGTCAACATTTAAAAAAGTTATGAGAAGGAGTAAAGAAGGTGGAGCTGGTCATTTCAGTGGTGTCCCATGAAAAGACAAAACAAAATGGACACAAACTGAAATACAAGAAATTCTATTTAAGCATAAGAAAAGTATTTTTCACTCCAAAGGTGGCCAGATGCTGGGCACAGCTTGACTGGGGAGGCTGTGGTGTCTTTGTCCTTGGAGAGGTGCTCAAAACTCAAACTGGACAGGGGCCTGAGAAATCTGCTCTGGGCAGGAGGGTCGGACTAGACAATTTCTAAAGCTTTCTGCCAACTTCAACTTTCCTGTGATTTTTGCAACCTGGTAGCAGAGTTTTCTCTCCATCTTGAATGATAGGCTCATTTTTATGCAATGATAGCTTGTGAAAGAATGAGAAGATTGGGCAACTGTCTAGAAGGTGGTCATGCATCTCATGGAGTAAATTGGTCTGTGGGACTGAGAGCCCTCTGAAACACACTCCTGTCTTCTTGACAGTGAGACAAGTGGCAAATGGCATGCTGAGAGCAGCAGCACGGCAACACTGGGAGACCCGGGAGGAGTCCTGTGGGACCTGTTGATCATTCACTGAAGAAACTTAGAGCAGAAACTCTCTTCCTCTGTTTGGTAGAAGGGAGCTACACTGAGCACATCTCTCTCAAAGGAAACTTTCAATTGTAAGCCTGACTAGTCTCAACCTTCATTTTAAGGCACCTCTGAGAGAAGACTTACCTGTAAAACAAAAAGCATGCCTGGTTGTTGTGTGAGAAATAACACTTAGGATTAATTTCAAACTCAGGGGTGCATTTCAGTGGAATTGATACCTGTGTGTGGGAGTAATGGATGATTCCCAAGGATTGGAGTGGTCCTAAGGCCAGATAAGAAACAAATGTATTGAATTTTAATCCTTCAAATAAATACAAAAGTTTAAGACCTTACACATGTGCTTTGATACTACATATTCCAGTGATGTTTTCCAACAAAATGTTATTACCTTTGGAAATGTATTAACTGATGTCCAGCAGTAGTGCAAATGAGATTTATCTTTTTATTCTTTACTTAGTTGACAGCTCATTCAGATAATGCTGTGCTGATCCCTGATCTGGTTGTACAAGAGTGCAAGCTTTTTCTCTCAGGCTTGTTTCCCAGACACTGAAGGCTATTTCTTCCACTGTTATGGTGCTTCCTGGGAATTTCTTGAGAATCAAAGCTTTAAAATATCTTTAAAGATAAATGTTATGTTTTTAACTGCTTTTCCATTGGTATACAAAGTTTCTCTGTAAAGTTATTTTTCAGAGTCACTTATATGTTGCTTTGCAGTGTACCTGTGTATTCGGTAAAAAAGACGGGCCTATCTGCATCTACATTTTCAAGTCTATGTTTGAAGACTGCAAGAGCTTCTTTTCCTCATTCTAATCTCTTTTGAACTGCATGTTGATTAGAGCTGGGCACAACTCAAGATCCAAAGATCAGGAATGTTTTAAACATAAGGTTTTAGTCAGGTCATTTTTCTTCTGTCATTTTTGCTCAAGGCTCATCCAGACCTCCATGCTTCTCTAAGCATTCAGGCTTCATTGAGCATCAGGAATGTTCAAGTATTTGATGATCAATGATTTTTAAAAAACCCTGTACCTTTCTTATATCTGTTTTCTCCAAGTCTAGTCCCTAAAACCCCAGCTGCTGCTTCTCTTAAGGAAAAAGGGTGGATAGTCTTATTATTTTATGATCATATAAAAAATAAGGACTTCATTCAATCCCACTGACAATCAAAGAATAGGTAAGAAACAACATGAGTGCAGACACACAGAATAGACAAGGAAACAATGAGACAATGTATTGGTCAGCAGCATAAGTGGTGATTTTTAGTTCATCTATTAGATACCAGTTTTGGGGGTACCTTTTCTAGCAAAAGGGATAAAGAGATTTAATGAGACAGCTTGATGCACTTTTAAGGGAGTTTTTTCCCTCCAGGAAGGTCAGCTTGAAGAAATTCTTCCATGCAACTTCTTGTATGAAAATTTTACAAGTAATAGGCAGAGTCTAGCACTGAGTTGACTTGATGTGGAAGCTAGACCTTTGGCAGTGAGAGTCAGAGGTAATCATCTTCAAAATGAGAAAGGGTATTTTACACTGGGCCCTAGAGGAGGGTGAGAGTTGGTAGATGGACAGGAGGAGCTAGATGAGAGTGTTAAAGTGATATGGGATAGATGAATGATCTTTGCAAGAGCATTCTGCAGGAGTCTGAACAGATCAAAATGGTGTCGGTCACTGCCAGCAAACAGAATGGTAGAAGAAAAAAATGTTTAGCTGTGTGGATAGACAGGGAAAGCTATGCTTTGGTGCTGTTGTACAAGCAAAATCTGCAAGGGAGCCAGCTATAATGTGAAAGGTAGAATTCAGAGATATCTAAGATAAAGGCATCAATGAGGCTGTAGGCCTTGAAGACAGGTTGATATTGAAGAGGAGTGGATGCCAAGAGAGTCTGGAGGGAGATAGAACCATCTTCTCCATTAGTTGCCTGTTTAATTTGGATCAGGATTAATGGCTGTAGTAGAAATAAAGCAGTGAGACATGAGATAAATATGTATTTATTAACACAACTACCTACAAAGAGAAGGAAGCTTTGATTGAATATGCTAATGATCAAGTCCAAGAGATGGGAGAACTGGAAGGTGGCAGTCATGCTAGTGCAGAGAGCAGATTTCAAGGAGTTCATTGTAGACTGTGCTATAGGCTAATGAAACAGATGGGAATCTTAATTCTGAGCTTCTCCTAGGACAGGAACTTCAAAAGAAACCTTGACAGTTTCACTGAAGGGCCAGAATGAGTATGCAGTAGAGCTAAGTGAAGGAAGTTCCCAGTGTTAATTGGAGACCTCAGGAAGCTGAGAGATGAAAAGGAAGTGGAGAGGGGAATGGGATTACATGTGGGTGTGTAACATGTACTATTATATTGTAAGGGGAAAGAAATAAAGGAAAACTCTTAGAAAGGGAAAGGATGAAAACAAACACCTGGGAGACCAAGTGAGATGCAACTAGTGTGGGTATGGAAGATGGCAGTGGCAATTTCACTCTCAGAGCAAATAATTTATGGTAATGCATTTTTAATGTGTAGCAGCCTTCTTTGTATTCACCATAACACCCAGTTGTGCTCTTAATAAATTCAAAGAAAGGGACCACCAGAGCTATGATGTCCATTTTTGCTATGCTGATATAGCTTTCCAGACTTAGATATTACTACAAGGACTTATGTTCTGACTGTGGTTTTATTTTCTCATCATTATGCATGTTTGTTTACAGAGAGTCATAACAGGCTCTCACAACTCTGAAGCAAATCAGTGTTTGTCTTGAGAATTGTAAATCTGTTTTTCCATGGTAAAAAGTACAGTATGGGTGTTAATATAGCCAAAAGAGTTTTTAATACGAGAAGTCAACAGTGAATTATAATGCCATTTTATGATGGAGCCCCCAAAAATAATTCTTTGCTCCTTCAGAGTAGCAAATCACTTCCCTGTGGGCATCTCACTGATCTGTTTCAAATAATATTTGGGGATATACTACTTGCTCAAAGTATTTTAAGGTGTTGGAATACAGCAAATGTCTCAAACCCCATAGTTATTTATGGCTATTAGTGGGATTAAATGTTGCAGACATTAAGTGAAAGGTAATTTTAAGTAATACCATACATGATATTCTTTTCCAGGTAACGAAGACCAATCAAAACCTGTTGACATCTACAGACTTTTCAGACTTTACAAATCTGTACATGTATGAATGCTGAATATTTGCTAACACTGAGATTGTAATTAAGATTTGGCTTTATCCCGTGACTAATATGAATGTGTTGAAAGCCATCATCTTGAAAGTAGGGTACTTTTTATTAACAGTAAAAATTTGGTCCATGAATATTAGAGCAGATTAATAGTGTCTAGGGGGCAGCATTTCTTTTATATTTACATTGTGCAACAGCAGGAAGAGAAAGGAAACAGCTAGAGAGAATACTCTGTATTTTATATCACATTTTCAGCAGTCCTCAAACTGTAATTAGTCTCCCGTGGCTCAGAAAAAGCGTTCAGGGTAAGGGGGGGAAAAAAACAAACAACCAAACTCCCCTAATTTCCTTGCAGCATCTAGCTGGGTCACTCTTGCTCCCATCGCTGTGGAGGATGGCCGGAGCTCCAGGCTGGCACATCCCCGGCGCACGGGCGGGTGCCTTGGCTGTTCTGTAGTGCCTCTGCTGGATAAACGTCTCACTGCTGCCTTATCCTTCACTCCCCCCTTACTCTCACAACCCTCTTTTAAACCTCTGTAGGGGGGATAAGGGGCAGCGCGACGGCGGGCCAGGGCCGGGCCGCAGGCACTGCCCGCCCAGCCCAGGGGCAGGCCGCTTCCCCGCCGCTGGGCACCGGCG